TTTCTATTTAAATTGTTAGTCTACTAATTGTATACTGCCTTCACTGCTGTTAAAAAATTCAGAGATCCTATTCATGTCTTAGTAATCTTTTCTGATGTTATGTTAGTCTTTCTACCTACATATGTTATTCTCACAGATATTCTGTATTAGTTAAGCTACATTACACTGTGATAATAAAAACATTCTAAATCTCGCAGAATTGAGACAACAAACTGATAAGCTTCTTCTGCATAGCACAGGAAACAATCAACACAGTAAATAGACAACCTACAGAAAGGGAGAAAATATTCCCTAACTACATCTGATAAAGGTCTAATATCCAGAATCTCCAAAGAACTCCAACAGCAAGAGAAAAAAAAAAACAAAAAAAACATTAAATAGTGGGCAAAAGACATGAACAGAAGTTTTTCAAAAGACAGACAAATGGTCAAATACATTAAAAAATATTCAATATCACTAATCATTCAGGGAAATGCAAATTAAAACCATAATGAGATATCACCTGCACCACAGCCAATCCTGTGGTCCTCAAAGGTGGAGGGCCCAACATATTTGGTGAATGACATGAATACTGTACTTCACCACAGAATGTTCTTGTGAATCACCTTGTGACAGGAATTTAGAATTGTTCTAAGTGGCTCTTAAGTTTTTAATGTACATCTGCTCACTGAGGGCCCTTTGTTTTGACATCTCTGATTTGTCACTTTTATTTAAACTGCCAAATTGAACTCATATCAGAATAACCATTATTAAAAAGTCAAAAAACAATAGATGTTGGTGTGGATGCTGAGAGAGAAAGGAATGCTTATATGCTGTTGGTGGGACTGTAAATTAGTACAACCGCTATGGAAAACAGTATGGAGATTCCTCAAAGAAATAAATATAGACTTACCATTCCACTCAGCAATCCCAATACTGGGGATCTACTCAAAGGAAAATAAGTCATTTTATCAAAAAGACACCTGCACTTCAATGTTTATTCCAGCACAATTCACAATTGTAAAGATGTGGAATCAACCAAAGTGTCCATCAATTTATGAGAAGATTAACAAAATGTGGTGTACGTATACACACACGTACATACACACACGTACATACATACACACACACACACACACACACCATGGAGTACTACTCAGCCATAAAAAGGTATGAAATAACGTCTTTTGCAGCAACTTAGATGGAACTGGAGACCATTATCCTAAGCGAAGTATCTCAGGAATGGATAGACAAACAGCATATGCACTCTCTAATAATTGGGCGCTAACTGATGGGCACACATGGGCACAGAGAGAAGGTCATGAAAAATCAAAAAGTGGGAGAGGGGATGAGTAAAAACCTATCCATCAGGTACAATGAACATTATTCAGGTCATGAGCACACGGATAGCTCTAACTTAAGCATTATATAAGCTATCCATGTAACAAAAACATTTGTACCCCCTTAATATTTCAAAATTTAAAAAAAGACAACAAAGTTTGCTTCTTACTCATTCAACTATCCAATGCAGGTGAGAAGGGAGGTTTGTCTACCTTTGATAACTTCAGGGGATCCATGTTTCACAATTTCCAGGTGAGAAAAAAGGGGAAAACACTCACGCTTACAGCTTTGGCTGAAAAGTGGAATACATCATTTTCATATATATTGAACGGTCCAAATAAGACCGAGGCAGGCCTTCAATTCTGATAAAGATAGGAAAGCGCAATCCTGTGGTTCTCAAAGGTGGAGGGCCCAACATATTTGGTGAATGACATGAATACTGTACTTCCACACCACAGAATGTTCTTGTGGATCACCTTGTGACAGGAATTTAGAATTGTTCTAAGTGGCTCTTAAGTTTTTAATGTACATCTGCTCACTGAGGGCCCTTTGTTTTGACATCTGTGATTTGTCATTTTTATTTAAACTGCCAAATTGAAATCATGTATTTCAAAACTTTATATTAACCTGATTTTACAGAGAAATATCTATGTCTATTTCTTAGAATTGAAATGAGTCTATTAGAAATATCTCAAATTTCAAGCTCTTGAATGTCCCAAGAAGATAAAGATTTGTACCTTGATGGCTGGCTTCACTTCATCCAATCTAATTTCATTCAGATGGAATGACTTTTTTTCTTTTTTTTACATTTGTAATGAGCAGTTTTTTCCCCATTAATAGATTCTTTAGATCATTTCATTGGGAATTTATCAAAAAAAGGGAAGTTAAATCAATATGCTCATTCCATATCTTAAACAATCAACTTTTCCTACATTGCTGATTTTTGATATTAGGTAAACCATTCACCCAACTAACCAAGTCACAACCAGGAAGACAGCCACTCTTTCCTTCAAATACAACTGGTTACCAAACCTTGCCGATTTTGTCTCCTAAATCTCTCTCAAAAGAAGAGAACTCTCAAGAAAAGAATTAATGTCAAACTCAATTTAGAACTATTTGGCATCCCCAAGGGACACTTTATATGTAATATTAAATAAGCAAAACCTTGATAGCTAATCATTTTGATAAAACTGAATTCAAGGGGAAACCAATAACCTTTCTTATTCTTTTTGACAAGCAAAGCCCTGAATGTTCTCAACTAATAAAGAAAGAGAATGGTGTTCAGCTTGTACAGTAAGTACTCCAGAAATACTTGACTTTGACAGAGTTGAGAAACAGAAGAGCTAAGTAAAAACATTCATGGGGACTGCCATCAAGTTGATTGGTATATATAGCTAGGCTGTCATGGTTATACTTGCAGTGAATAGAGGAGGGTGCTGACTGACTCCAACTTAATGAGAAATGCAATCTGTGGAAAGCTAGAGAAAAGGTTCTGGAAATTTACATTCATCAGGTGTCTGGCAGGTGGGTGGGGGAGACAGGTAAATTCACACCTATTGGATGTGGTGCACACTGTCTGGGGGATAGACACGCTTGAAACTCTGACTCAGGTGGGGCAAAAGTAATATACGTAACCTAAATGTTTGTATACCCATAAAATTTTGAAATAAAAATTAAAAATAAATAAATATATAAAAATGAAAGAAAAGAAAAATTTACAACCCAATGATCCAAATAAAAAGATTTCCACATCACCAGTGTATAACAAAAGCATTCTACTGGTTCTAGCATTATGGTAACTAAGTTAAAAGTAATATATTTAACAAGGACAATTTTTGAAATACACTTATAATGGGTTTCCATTGGTAGACCTTGAATGCCAGATACTGATTTAATATGTAGCAAAATGCCTTGATGATGAAACTATCTATTATTATCAAGGTGAATTAGACTACAGAAATTTGTGCTTTCTCATCCTTGCAAATGGTTTTTTAGTCACAATGCAAATTGTGACTAAAAACATAGTGTTTTATTCATGAAGAACAAAAAATCCTCTTCCCTGTAATAGTGCCTAACCTTGTCATACAAATTACGATGTCTCTTGAAAATTACCCTGCATTGAAGGCTCTTGCAGACTGGCTATAGTGTATTTTATAAATATACCAGTAGTCAATTGAGTTCTGTGTTCTCTTTGTAGGTGGTCAGCTTTCTTGAGTTCATCATAAAACAAGCACCTTAAAAAAGCTAAACATTAATGTGGAATGAGGGCATCCAACTAAAACCTCACAGTATACTTTCCCTCTAAACCAAACTTTAGGTTTCTAAAACTTATGAAAAGCCAGGTAGGAGGCCATTAAGATATAGTTATAATAACAATCTCAAATTATAAACTCAAACAAATCTACAAAATTTGCTTTAAATATTGGTTCCTGGGAGACAGTGGTAGCTGGAGACATGTGGTTATAAAAGGACAAACAAGGGATACCTGTGGTGATGGAACTTACACTGTATTTTGACTGTGGTGATGGATTAAACCCACATATGACAAAATTACATAGATTATACATACACACACACTGAGGTCCAAGTAAAACTGGAGAACCCCAGTAAGGCCAGGGAATTATATCAGTGTCAATATCCTGGTTATGATAATGTACTACAGTTTTACAAAATATTACCATTGGGGAAACTGGATAAATGGTAAAAGGGAATCTCTCTATATTATATTTTTACAACTACATGTGAATTTACAATGATCTCAATGAAAAGTTTTAAGAAACTAGTTTCTCTATTTTTCTCAAAACTGATTTTAAAATCATCCAAATGTGAACTAACTTCTGTTATTTATCTTCCTTTTTATGAATAACCCACATAATTACAAAGCTATCCCTAGAAGCCAGGCACAGAGAGCGCAGTGTGGGTGCCACTTAATGAGGCACTTAGGTAGGGATTTAATCAAGTGAAATTTGGGTAAGTGTATAAGAGAAGAGGTATATATATTGTTAACAGAAAAAATAATGCTTTTGAAAAAAATCTCGTAAATCATTTGATAAAAAGGTTTCTTAAAAACATTCACCTCCTTTAACCTAAAGCCCCACTCACATATGCACTGACTCTTTTTATATTCACAACAAAAATGGATGATCTGCCCTTTTTTTTTGCTATTATTGTAATTTGCCTTTGTAATAACCCTTCTAAAAATAGAAGCTCTAAAGGTCTAAACAATGTTGTGTTTCAAGACAAACCAAGAGTGCTGATTATAGAGACATTCTGAGAATTTCACAGGCCTTAAGTATATTTGTATTTGATAATCCTCTTCACTATCGAACAGTAAAATGTATCCACATGCCACATTCAATATAATTAACATAAAAACACAAATATTAAGACTAAGTGACATAATGTTTTATTTTGGAGACATTAGACACTTATCAAATTCAATCTGCAGTTTTCTTTTGTATTTTAAGACCAGTAGTTTCTGGAGAAATGAGAAAGGAGGTCATATGCTCCATATATTGTGCACATAGACTATAATGAATAGTTCTAATTTTTACGTGGTTAAGCAGCATGTTTTACATTAAGAATGTGGAATATGGTGGTACAATAGAGAAATTCATATAATTCATTACTTTCTCAAAGCCAGGGCATTCGTCTTTTAAGGTGCGGTAGTAAAACCTAACCTGAGCATGTGTGCGGCATTGAAGACAACGTCAAACTCCAAGCTGTCCAGTTCAGCTGCTTTTTTTGCCATCTCAGCTGCTTCTATGAGGCGACCTTCTTCCAGAAGAAATTGACCTGCAAAGTATGAAAGCCAGTGAGCTTCAACTCAGAAAATATTAGTCCTGTAAAACAATAAAGCTGCTATTAGAGAAAAGAAAGTACAGTGGTAAAGGTGATTTAGAACTAAAATTTAATAACATGCTCATTATTTAGACACTTTTTATATGCCTTTCCTTTAATAGTAGGATGTTACAAAGCTTCTATTTGGAACCTTCAATTTTTTTTTTCTTAAAATAAATTCTCTACAGACTACCTAAATAAGAAATAAGATGAAAAAATTTAAAGATACATTACAAATATGAGTTGATTTTAATCGGTAGTGCTGTATAACAGCTTCTGTCACTTATGTATGTGTACAAACATGTGTACCCATATTGAAATATATTTCTTATATTTGAAAAATGCTAAAATTATTGAGAGAACAAACATTGGAAGATAGGTTAAACATTAGCTTACTCTTCATTATATTAAGTAATAAAAGGATAAATATTAACAATTTCAGATTTTTGCAATTATTCTCAGGTTAGCTTTGCAAGGTTAGAATTATTGCAGATAATACCACATACATCTTTAAAATTGCACCTCAAGAATTGTTATATAATGCTTTCCCAGAAACACTGTAAAGGTAAAGAAAACGACAAAAGTTGGGCCCAATTTTAAGGCCATAAATATACAGAGATAACAGGTGGCATTTTTATAGCTAGCGATTTATTAAGAGCAAAAGTAATGATGTTAAGCCTTATCTGATATGGATATTCAAACAAAATAGAAATCAGAGGACAGCAGAGATATGCTGAAGCCATCCATGCAACTGCCAAGCTTATTGAATTATGGTCTGATTATCATCTCTTCTTGTTTGAGGTTTCCTGTTTGCTAAAAATTCAAGGGTTTAACAATATTAAGAATAGTTATAAAAGTGATTAGTAAGTCCTGAGCTGCACAAAGAAACAGAAAAACTTAAAAAATGGTAAATACTCCCTGGTAGTTATTGAAAGAGCTTATTATTTACTGTTTATATAATAAATATTACAAATTGCTTTCTAACTCAAAAGACCAGATCTCAAAAGGGGAAACTATTTGTTGTAAGGATTTATTTATAATAAACCACTGCTTGCATTTAAATATTTCCAAACTTTGATTAGAAAGAAAAAGAGTAAAGATAAGCATAGGATTATCAAGCCTAATTTTTTAAAACTAAATGAGAAAGTTTTAAGAACAAGACTTGGAGATCCCTAGGTTATTTCTAAAGTTGCATATCATTTTCTTAGTTTTTCATCTAACATTCTGTGTCTTTCTCATCTCCCAAAGCAAATTAACATAATTCTTAGGTCAGAAAATTATTAAAGAAACAGTTATAAATGAGTTCCATTTATTAATTAAAAAATATATTACTTATAGAATTCCTATATATATTAACTACAGAAGTATAGATATAAAATTTAAAGTACATGTTGCTTTTTTTTAAAAAAAGTAAAATAATAATTAGATATTATATAGCATATTGAAAAATTAGTATCTTCTCATATATATCTGAATAAAGGATATCAAGCTAAACTCAACCTTGAGTTAGTTATGATTATAGATTTTTAAAAATTATAGCAATATTAATTGCTACTAGTCCTTAAAACCTAATATTTAACTAAGTAAGTGCATTATTAAATATATTACTTATTTATGTGGTAATTACACAAAAGATAATGTAGGAAGTTATTAATTATTCTTTTCTAGGAAGTTTTTAAGTAAAATGTAATCAATATTAATAGTTGGAAAAAAGTGACAATTATTTGAATAATGAAGGTTATTTTCTTAAAATTCATTTCTCCAGATTGTAGAAGGAAAAGGAGATATATTAGCTCTGGTAAAAAAAAGGAGTGCAAACAAAGGTCTGCGTGGAAACAGAGAGGGACACTCACAAGTCGTCTATATGATGATGATAATGGTACCCAGTAACAAGCTTTGCCAACACCAAGTGCAGCTTTAATGTTCGGAAAAGGAATTAACATTAACTAATTGTGTAAAATCAAATTTGTAATTTTCATCCTAATTTAACCTTTTTTATGCTTTAAATTAGCTTTGCCATGCAACATGCACTTTGTAAACCACTTCCAAAAACTACACAAAATACATAATTTTTAAGACTGTGAATGGTGACAGAAAATATTCCCATATCATCATTCTATAACAGCAAAATTCATTAACCATGTTAATACTCAGAAAAATATCACAACCTATTAGGTATTTGCATAATACCCCCCCATGTGTCCTTGACAGGCCACAAATCTCAGTAGTCCAGCATCTGTGTTCTGCTATGATAAAGGCATAAAAAATGGAGTATGAATTTTCTGGTTGGTTTTTTTAACTTAATTTGAATATTTTAACCAAAATTGAGAGTAAATTATTATCCTGCTATGTTATACAATGACTGTTTGAAATGTAGCCCAGAATTGATGTATAATAAACATTTTGAATATATAGAACCAACACAAATAGGGAAAAAGAATACTAGGTTTCTTCTTAATAACTACTCAACTCAAAGAACCTAAATTGAGATGTTATTGGAGGAATAATAGGAACAAAATCTGCCCTTACCCCTTCTGCAATTGACCTCAAATGGCTCTTCTCCCACCAGCTTTATCTATTATTGCGTCCACCATACACCAGCCACTTCATGCTAATTATGCTTCCCACACTGTAACCTATTGCTTCACATCTTTATTTATCTGAAACTCTCAGGCTCTAAGGTTTCTCGGCCTTAAAGGTTGTTCTATCTCAACCTCCAGTTTTATCTTGTGTACTTACTATAAAAAAGACCTATTTTATGCCCTAAAACATTACCTTCACAATGATCCCTTCTTAGACCAGTTTGCAATAGTCTTAGAATTGCTTATGATTTAGGGTCACTGTAATATAATTTATCAACTAAGCCAGAGAACATATTAGAGCAAAAGGAACAGCATTACTAATGATGCTGAAGCAAAAGTATAAACCAGAACTGTCCTGTATGACCACCCCACTTACAGCATGTGTGGCAGGATGTGGAGCTCAATCCTCTTGTCTTCACCACTACTGGAAAGTGAACCATTTGCACAATAAGGCATTGACTCACTGCTGGCAAGAGTGGTGAATATTAGCAAGAGAAACCTAAGTGCTGCTCACTGAAGGATTTCTGTTGAGCCTACCAAGATTCAGACAGATACTCAAGTCTGGTGAGTAGAAGCAGCTACTGAGGCTCAGCTAGGACTAACAGAAAGAGAAAACTAGAGGAAGGCAGGCACCTGGGGGAGAGTCCATCTATACACTGGTGGATTCTGCAAGGCTGGAGAGGTTGGTTAGCTTTTTTGTTGGTCTCTAGCTTTAGTGCATGTCAGAATCACCTAAAGGATTTGAACTAAAACAGAGAGCAAGGCCTCATCTCCAGAGTTTCAGATTCAGTGGGTTTGGGATAGAGATTGAGATCTGCATTTTTAAGATGTTCCCAAGTGATGCTGATGCTGCTAATCCAGTGTCCACACTTTTGAAAATGAGTGTCTCATAAGAAAAATACCATCTGGGATTAGCTATCAGTTAGACTGAGGTCTGGCAATTAACTGCATCTGTCATGCACTTCCCTATATTATGGGGCATAATGACTAGGTTACACCCACACATATATAGATAGAAAGATATCTATATATGAAGACACCCGACTTATTAAGTTCACTCTTCCAAAACTCTTAAAATATGGAGTTAAGAGTTTTATCCTTCACATGGAATGATGTATTTCTGAGAAATCACTTCTCTTTCACATACAGTAGACAAACACATTTTTTGTGTGTTTGATAATTGAGTAGGACTGCAAATAAAGAAACCACAAAAATCTTAAGTAAAATACATTTTGTTCTTATGTGTGTACTGTTGCTACCACACTTTATTTCTTGGGTTTGTAATTTGTCTTACTCAAGTTAATTATCATCATCTTAATTGTCTCAAATCAAAGGGAGGAAAAAAATGGAAAAAACAGATGACAAATTATAAAGAAAAGTCATTTCAGTAGGGAAAAACAGAAGATGATATAAAATGAGGAAACATTCTCTAGAGAGTCAGAGACAAAGGAGTGTAAGTCTCTTCACAGGCTAAAATGGGAAGAGGGAAAAAACAATTGATAGTTTTGGATTCAACTGTTTCAGCATCATTATGATACCATTTCTTCTCTGGACAATTCTTTCACTGAACCGTTTATAATACGTGGTAGATTTCTGCCAACATTTCAATAAGACAAGCCTGTGAAGACTGATCCTTCATTAATTCCTGGATTTAAAAAGCTGTCTGTAATGTAGAAATCCATAAAAATGTAAGCTGGCCTTAAGCCATAGGCTCAAATACTGCTTTGTAAAAATGCTACATATAAACTCCCTAGATTAACTGTGACTGGCATTTCTTACTAGAATACTATGAAAAAAAATCACTCTTATGATCAATGCTACTAAATTAAAGAGCTAAACCAATCTATAATAGGTGTCATGATAATACAGTTCTCTTTAGGAAAAATCATTCATATGTAGCTTTAAAAAATGTTCAAAGGCAAATGAAAATTTTTTTTTTTATAAAACAAAAACTAGAATACCACATTTGCATTGAAATAGTTCTCTTTGGAAAAATGTGTTCAGAATCATCAGCCTTCCACTGATTCCCAGCCTGTCTCAAGCTATCGTCTCACCCAGGATCATAGCAATAACCTCCTAAATGGTCCCCGTACTTCTGCCCTTGACCCTAGAGAGTGTTCTCAAAACAGTAGTCTGAATTATCTTGTTGAAAAAGAAAGCATTTTGTGTTATCTTACAGCTGATTCAAGAATCCTCATACTGGCCTACACAACTTGATACAATCAGAACCCTCCCTACCTTCTCTTACCATTCCTCTAACATATCAGAAGAAGCAATATTCCTGGATCAGAGTCTTTGCATTTGCCATTCCATCCACCTGAAATGTTTCTCCCCCAGACATTCCAGTGGCTCACTCTCTAATGTCCCGGCACA